ATTAATTGTGAAGCTAAAATTCTGATTAAGGTCACCAAAATAATTCAAAGGGAGGCCTTTTGTGAAAGGGCTGCATCTTAAACCTGAAGGGAATTAAATAAATGGAGCTATTCACATATTAGATACTTTAAGATAAGTGTGTGCATAAATGTAAAGGACACGGACTTCTAAAATAAATTTAGACCCTTTCTTTTGATTTATTTCTTATAGCAACCAGAACCTGATCTTAAAATGAAGAAATAAGTCAGGAAATAGTCCCCCCCCCTTAACTTCTGTTTTTTTAGTAAAACATTGTTATTTGTGGTGTTTATATAATTATATTCCAGTGTAATTCAAGGATGTAATGACATTTCTCCAATGAAAGCATTTAAATAACTCAGGAAATTGTTTTACTGTTCTGTTTCCTGACTTAAAACCCATTTTGTCATGTTCATTTTATTGTCCAATCTATCTGAGCTCATCTAGATATATTCTACCCTATACAGAGCAAAATAAAATATTTACTAACTGGTCATCTCATATATGTGTATATATAAATGCACATCACATTAAAACTATTCTTATATATATACAGTTATTAACCATTCTTATACAAATATAATTATTATTTTCACCCCTTACTGAATTTTAGTTTATAATAAAACCAGAAATCTCACGCATAACACCAGAATGTGACTAGAATGTAATAAAAAAAGAGTAATCTCAGGTAAAGGAGTATCAAATAATAGATCTATTCATTATAGAATAAAAATTAAGAAAACTAAAAATGACTTTAATTTTTCTTGTAGTGCCAATCAAACAAAATGTTTTTCTTAGCATTTGGGAATGTGTTAAAACCATTTTTTGTGTTACAGCTCAAAAGGACTACTTTGTTTTGCTCCATAAAATGGAATGGTTTGGTATAAGGGTGGTATTTTCCAGCAAAAAGGGGAACATTTACCAGACTTGCAGCAGAACTGAGTCTTCTTTTACCCTAAAGACCCTTCTATGAGACAAGTGATAGGTTAACTTGTCTCATTTTTATCCAGACCTTTTTTAATTTAGTGGATAAGATTAAAGTGCAAGCTGAATACCACAGGTGTAGCTTGGGTTTTTAATCTGCTTGACTCGAGTTAATCTAGTTCCTGAATGGGGCTACTAATAATATAGTCCCTGAAATGAAATAGGAAACCTAAGTAGTGCAATGCTTTTATTCAGCTTTGAATAAATCAGAGAAGCATAAAATATACTGAAACAGATTAAATTGGATTCCTGCAGGAATCAAAGTTTAAGAAGTTATAGTAGAGATAGAGAGAAACTCAACAGAGGAGATCAGATACTGCACGGGGGACAGTATCTGCCAGGGTGCAACTGTGTCCAGAGAAACCACCTGAGGGGCTGCTGCAGGGCTCTGAGGATTTGGCCTGAATAAACAGCTTAGTGAGAGTGATGCTCCTGGTGTTCATGCAAAGAATAGAGACCAGTGAGATTATGGTTCTTATTTCTGTGTTATCCTGCCCTGGAAAATATGTCACCATGCTCCAGGACAAAAATGAAGGGAGAAGCAGACAAATAGCCTGAAATAATTGCTAGTATATAAGTAGTGTCTAATTGGGCACTACCATAAATTCATAGGTGTCTTTTTTGTGTTAAAGGCGCTTTAGGCTTTATGTATTCCAAGCCAAATTCTTTAGCCTTTGGGTGAGCAAAACTCCTGCTGCTCATGGTGAGAGGTCTGCTCAGTTAAAGAGCACAAAAGCTTCATCCTGTGTTACACTGAGAGCTTTGATATTTCTGCAAGTTTTCAGATTTTTTGTGAGTTGAGGAGTCACAAACCCTTGTGTGTGTCATCAAGCCCTGGAAAGGCAGCAGAGCGAACCTTGCCCCATGGCAGCACCTGCGAGTGGCACAAGCCCCAGCTGCACTGCACCCCTGGGCTGGAGATCACCAGCACCCTGGTGGGGACTGGAGTAAGAGAGGGAAGGCGAGAGAAAAAAACCATTGTGTTGGTGATAACAATTTCAGGATGTAATTCAGAGGAACAGTGGGTTTTGTAAAAGCCTTTCCTTGCCAAAAAGCAGCACTGGACTTTTTAGTTCCCCCCCAGCCCTGGCTTGGTCTGGGATGCCACAGGGCTACAAGTGTTGCCTGGAAAGAGCTCTGGGCATCTCTGAACTTGTAGGAGGGAGAGCCAGTCCACATGTTGCACAGTGACTGTGGTAGAAGGGTGGATGCATTAGCCTGGGTCGTAGAGATTCTACCTGAAGAACTGATAACTGCCCTCAAAGCTAAGTGTATCCTGAAGTGCTGATTCTGTGAGTGCTTCATAGTTTTTCTGACATCTTACAGTTCAGAAAGAAATGTGAACTTAACTGATTTTATTAAGAAATCTGTGTTTCCTGGTTAGAATAAGCTCTATTTCTTAGGTGTTGACTTTGAATTTGGCAAAATAAATCCCCTGGATATGAGTGTAACTGTGCTGGTGCAACTTCATCTTAGGTACTAACATTATCCTATTCAGAGTTTTTAGTATCTAGCTCAGCAGTCAATATATGCTTGCATGTTTTAGACAGTACTCATTAATGTATATCTAAATGCAGTCTTTTTTTTGTCAGTCTTCAAGTCAAGAAAGTAATCCCTTCCTTTAACTATGTAATTTACAGAATTTCTTGAGAAAATTCCGAGATCTGAACAAGCAAAACCTGTTGTAACATTGATGGGCTAAGGCACTAACAGAAACTTGAGTGCTTCTCTAATTTCCTTGAAGAAGATAACTGTAAGTATTTGAGAATCAGTGTAAATATACATCTTTAAATAAAAATACATGCATAATCATCTCATGGGAGTCCTAGCTTCCCTGGGCACTTGCTTTGTGGTGAACACTAATTACTTGCCATTAAAAAGGTGGTGGATATATTAATCAATTGTGTGCTGTGGCTAAACCCTCCTGCTTATTTGCTGTTTAGATAATAATTTTCATTAAATCAAGAATAGTGCTGGTCCTCTTCTTAGCACTGTAAGAGTGCAAGATGTGACATAGTTTTTAATTTTCCATAGCTTAATCCTATTCTTCATATTTAAGAAATATAAATTCTACCAATGCTTGGCAGGTATTTATTACAAAAATCTTTAGAACTGATTTCTGTATAGATTCATTCTTACAGACTGTATTATGGAAAGAAAAGGTTTAAGTGATAGATTAAGGTTAGATCTCATAGAAGAAACTGCGTAAATCTCCCAGATGGAGTGGTGTTAACTATTCGAGGCTAACCCCCCACTCCTTAACTGGTACAGATGTTTGTAAGTGTTGATTTTTTTGTGACCTCTGTTCCTGTGAGGAGTTCAAGTTTAAAAAGTGTGAAAGAATATTGAAAAGACTTGCATTTTTTAGTTCAGATATCATCTATCTAAAAAATACCATGTACGATGGTCTGTGGTGTCCCTCTCAGATAGAGCAGTTGGGACCAAGAGGGCTCAGATTGTTTCCCTGTGTGATCAGCTATGACTTACTTTATTTGTGTTAATTGTTCCTAACTTAAATCTTGGTTTTCAGTGTAGTTGCTGGATTTATCTTCCATCCCTCAGTGAAAGATTTCTTAGCAGAACTTAAACCACTTTTTTTCATTTGTTTTGAAGGAGCAAATGCACATTTACATGAGATCTGTTTAAAATTTGTAGCAGGATGAGACCCTCCTGGCTTCCTTTAATTCTGGATTATAAACTGGCTCACTCATGATTAAAAGTGCATCACTGAAACTAAGTTAGTTAAATTGCTAAAAAAGCCATAGAAATCTCATTTAAATATCTCAGTAGGTGCTTCTGAGAGAATAAAATTTGTTCAAGAAACAAGAGATACTCCTAGAGTTACTCATGCTTGAAACATATTGCAGTCTGATTGTTAGAAAGCCCTAAGGGTAAAAATTGTGACTCCATCTTAGCACCTCCAGGGAGGGAACGTAACATGTTTTGTGTTGTTTCCTCACTGGAAAGTAAGTTGTGCAGGGTTCAACATCCACTATTTATGGGGGAGTCAATGAGCCTCATCAAATTCTGCCAAGTGTTCTCTGTCTTGCACAGGGCGGGTGGTTAGACAACACCTCACTCTCTGGCAGTCACAGATGTGATGTAGGCTTCAGTGTGTGAGGAAACAGAGTTCAAATTCCTTTTGTGTCTATATTTACAGAGCTTCTGTGAAAGTCTTTGTGAACAGAGCCTGGGCCTCATTGCCTCAACCTTGAGGCAAAAGATGTGATGGAAAAGGGGAGGCCTATAAAAGACACGCCCTGGAACAATTGTTCTCACCTATCCCTTCTAAGGTTTCAAATAAGTAAATAGTAAATGTAATCTATCAGCAAAAGCCATGCTGTATTTGAAACAAACAGGTGAGACATGTAGATGTCAATGAATACCATAACTTTGCTCTGCTAATGACAAGTTCCACCTGGCTGCGGTTACTTGACCATTATACAAACTTTTTAACTTACTTAACATACCTGCCAACTCACCCAGCTGTGCAGGAGCTGTCATTACAAACTTTCAAAGTCCATCAATGCTTTATAGGATTGCCCTTCCAAGAAAAGGAATCTCTACAAAAGTTATTGTTCTGACCACAGGGGCTGAGGGCAAGTTGGATACTACCTACAGTATATTTTTCCTTTCTACTCTAAATATCTTGGACAGAAAATGTAAAATGAAATTCATGCACTTCTAAAGTGAGACCAGGTGCAGTGTTTAGAGTTAAATCAGGTGTGGATGATTAGCTTAAACAGGATTCAGCTGAATCTGATTTCTCATCTGCTATCTATCCCGTCCCACCACCCATTTCCTCTCTCATCCTCCATGCATTTAGCATCTTACTGAACTCCTAATGTTTTCCTGCCAGCTATAAGAGCTATTTGGTCCTAAACGTGGCAGGCATGTGCTAATGTCTTTGGAAAAAGTTCTTCAGTGTTGGATGTTTCCTTTGGTTATAGAACTATAAAGCTTCCAGAAGATGTGGTAAGTCTTCATTTCTGCTTTCTCTGGATTCACCTGAAACTCCAGCTGTGTTCTGCAGTTGTCTCTAGCAAGGTAAAAAAATTCTGGCTGTGTTCTTTTCCTGGCTTTTGTATCTTATGTTGTATAACAGACTTAAATACTTATTTGACAGAATCCTACACAAGAAAAATTTTGAACATACCATAAAGTTTTGGTTCTGTTCTGTGCTAGGCAAAAAAAGGTATACTTGAAACTGTTCGTCTGCATCTCTCATGAGAGATGGTCCTGGTCATTTTGGATAGTGAACTATGTAAACACGTGGGCAGACTCTGTTTCTTAGTGTGAAATATGTAAGAAAACTAAATGTCAACTGTTTTCCCTGTAGACCATGAACAAAAAAAGTTCAAAGTTTGGTTATTAGCGTTCTTGCACCAAATTCTCTGATTCAATGTCATCTATTGTGCTATTAAAATAAAACAAAACCCCCTTAATATTCTTCTTTAATATATCTCTTACCTAGAGGTGAGCACTATTTTTAATGCAGATGCCCGAAATGACTTTATTCATGTGTATGTATAAAGCAGGAATTGTCAATTCCAATAGATAAATGCATATTATGAAGGTTGGATTTTAATTTTAAGATTTGCACACTGGGTTTTTTTTTAATTCAAAGACATAGTGTTTACTGAAGAGATGACTTCTTGTGGAAAAAAAATGCTGTTTTATATATAGCTAATCAAAGAAAGGATATTCTAGAAGCTCCTTTTCAGAAATGCTTTCAAAGATTTTCTGTTGACGAAAATAATTGTTAAATATTTAGAATTTAAATGTAGGAGTCCAAATAGAACAGAATGCATGAAAATAGTAAATTCATGGCTAGAGGAACCCTTAATATAAAGATCAGCTGATTATTTTTTTTAAAAAATGGACAACATTTTGTCAAGTTAGGTTGGGGGGTTGGTTACTTGGCTTGCAGTAGAAAGCTGTTACTGGTGGTACAAACACTAAGCAGAATTCTGAAGCAGATACTGCTAGCATCTTGCTCTCATGGAGAAGGTAATGAACACATTTGTGGAGGTAATGTTATCTGGAGGCATAGAAAAACTAATCTATTCCCTGGCTAAATGGGAAAGGTATTGGAGACAGCTCTGATGATATTCCTGTTGCTCTAGCACCATTATCTGTGAACTTTCTTGCATTTGGGTTTATCTGTCCTTTAAGAAAGCTATGGTTACCTTTTCCTGTGAAAATCCTTGTTCCTTCTGGCCCAGCAATCTAGTACAGTCAACTGCTTCTCTGATGTTAGAAGACTACAGTAGCTCTGACATCAAAAACAAAGTTGAAATGTAGCTTTTCAAAATAATTCCATGATCTCTTGTATAAAAGCATTTATATCTATGTTTGTGTACATTAGATTATATGGATGATGAGCACAGATGAAGTCTGTGTAAAAAAAACAAACAAAAAAACCAAAAATAGAAACCCTCAAAAATTGCTGGATAGACCTTGGCAACTAAAGTTTCTCTAATGACAAATTGCCACTACTTTTGTTGGAAGGTACTTGAAGGGCAAAACCTGGAAAACCTCAACATTTTGAACTACAGAAATAACTATGCATTTAGGTGTACATGACAAACACAAGATGTAAATTTAGCATTATAACCACTTTTTCTTTATACTTTTTGAACCCCTAAATTGGGGTTCAAATTCACATGGAATTTGAGATGGTTTAGAAGCATGGACGATATCTGCCATTGAATTGCTTGATCTTTGTTTTTAGGTGACTGCATTTTAGTTTATTTGGGGTAGTTCCAGACCTTAAAGTAAAAGATATTAATCCAGTAGCTCTGGATAATGATGTTGTATATATCTGAGTTAAAATGCTTCTCTTATTCATGTGGGACTGTGGCACAACCAGTATGTGGAATATTGATTCTTTAACTACCTCTGTAACTTACACATGCCTGGTTTCTCTGCCATTTTCAAGCTGTTGTGATGTGTGATTTCTTAAGGGTTAATTTATTAAAAAACTGTAATCACTGTCACTTTCTAAAAGAACAAGATGATTTGCTTTTGATTTACTTGCCTTCATTTTGTGAGATTTTCACTATTGTATTCTGCACAGATGAATCCTATTTTCAGAATAATGATCATCTTGCAAGAAAACCTAATATAAGAGAACAACATCAAACTGACAGGAAGATTGAATGGGTAATATATGCCCTCTTCTTTTTTATATAGGGTATCTTTATGATACTGTGGCCTACAACTTTGACCCACGTCTTTCTTTTTAGTTAACCTCCATCAACTATTTAATATAACTTCACATGTTTGTCATATGAATTTGTAATTAATGCCATTCTAGTCCTCGTGTTTATATGTTCACTGAAAGTGACATAGAAGGAAGGGCGCTTAGATCTACAGAGAATTAATTAGCATGTAATTTTCAGTATATCATCTAGTGTTAATTAGCAGTTAAACCATCTTCTAGTGCATGACCTGCTGATTTAAATACAGCATTCTGTTACAGTGGCCCGGGGGGAAAATGTCTTGAAAGGGTATTCTCTAGAAAATGGAGCTCTCTACATTTCTCTCTTTCTGTTTCTTTGTACCTTAGCATCAGATCTCTCTCAGCCCTTTCCACAATACAAAAGCCCATGTGGTAAAGTGATAAGAAGCAGCAATTTTGATATTAATCAGAAAAGATAATGATAGATTTAAACATACCAAATTGATGTGCTGCCTGATGGAGGTGCAGTAACTCCGTTATAGGAGGGTCACATCCTCCGTGATTGGATCTCTAGCTATAGTAACTTCAGCTTTGCTATTTCTCTTTAAACACATAAAATTCTACCTTGAGCAGCTGTAATACTGGCTAGTTGAGCCATTCAGGAAGTCATCTGAAATCTCTTTTTAAATAGTTGTAGTGTTTATGCTTATGTTTCATGTGAAAAAAGAAGTACCATATTATATTTTAACCATCTAACTTAATCTGCTTATTTTTTCCTTTTCCTCTTTCCTTAAGTAGTGAGCGATCCTTTAAATTTTTTATTTCATCAGTGTAAAAATATCTAAGGCTCTATTTTATTGAGCACTTCCATCATCCTGAATACCTTTATTATACAGCTTTTGAGGTCTTATTTTTCTATGCAATCCAATTCCCTTGACCTCAAAAGAGTATTCATTCCTAGTATCCATGCTCTATATTATACAGGCTTTACCCTGGTGTGTCATCAAAGCTATTGCTGTGAAGCGGTGAGTTTTAGTACTACAAAATTGAACTCTTCCACAGTGATAGGAAACAACTGACCCTACTTCTTCAACTAGTGGATGATGGATTAAGAGACAAAACTAAGTGAGAAGTAAGTTTCTTGTGCTGCTTTTTGTGCTGCTGGTTTTTTTGGGGTTTTTTTGGAGGGGAGGATTTTCTGGGGTTTTTTTCCTTGTATTTTGTTTTAAATATTTCCAAGGTAAAGTAATACAGTACAGAATGTTATTAGGCTGAAAAGAAAACAGTCTCTTGAACACAAAAATGACTTATCCTGAAAATGTCCACCTTTTGAGAGTCTAAAACAAGAACTCTCTCAATAACCAAAAAAAGCAATCCTCTCAGTTGTCACAAGAATTGTGCAGATTCTCTTAATGGAAGTTATCAGATGTGCAATACATGACAGACACACAATATAATTGTCTTAAGAGACAGAAGTCTCAGATATTTGCAATGAAATTTCTACGTAAATCAAAGATGGACTGTAAATCTGTTCACTACCATTATGAAGTGCTTTTGCAGGCCAGTTAGAAATGACTGTAGTTTCTGATTAAGTGGTAAATAACTTAGTGAACTCTTCAGATCAAAATTTCCTCTTCTTTGCAAATTATTGCGTTGTCCAAGAGCTGACTTCAACTTCTTCAATGTATTCATTGTTCAGTTCTCTTAAAAGACTGTCAGTATGGATTGATGAAGAATTTAGTGCTAAGAGCTAAACATGACTTTTATTTGCTCTCCATTAAGAGTGTTGAAACTGCATTTGATAAAATTAATTTCTGACTAAAGATATATCCAAACTTAACTACTTTGGTGTTATAAAATCACTGCCTACTCAAACAGATCAGTCTAAGCTATTAGTGATAAGTTTAAGTACTGATGTTTCCCTAAACTGTGACACATTCAAACACTTTTTCCCCCAGTCATCTTAAATTGCTTTCAAAGTAGCACTGGCCTTTGAAATTAAGCTCAGAGTATGGAAACTATTTGCAAAGCTTTGTGTGGTTTGATCCTTATACTGTTTCATGTGGTGTGTTTCTGGCCTGGCTGCTGCTGGAGTCCGTTCAGCCAATACTAGTTGGGCAAGGAGGAGGCATCAAAAGGTGATTATCCATGGTGTACCTTACTGTGGGGCTGGGAGAGCTGTTTAAGGTGAATTGGTGGGAGAGTAGTATTGTGCTCTGGTTGTTTATTTGTTCTTTGGCAGAATTTGGGATATCAGTGGTTTCAGACATGGCAAAAGAACCGAATAGCTTCCTATTCATTGTGATTATTACATTTATCAAGCTTTGGACATTTCAGAGTTCTGATTTCTTATCTTTTTTTTTTCCTTTTTTTTTTTATGACTGGAAAATAAAGTCTTAGTCCTACCAATTAAAAAAAATAAATACACAACCTTTAAAATACTTCTAAAGTTTTCTGTGTTCAAGACGAGTGGAGGGCAGTGTCTGAGACTGCACTGTTCTTACTCTGTTAAGTCTCTTAAAAAATCAGGAGTAGGGGATATCTATTTTCACACCAGTTTTCACATCAGTATATGTAAATATTTAATGATCAAGTCCAGCTATATTTTATATACAGTGAAGTAACACCAATGTTAAAAATGTTCAAGTATGTTCAAATAACCTGTGCTACTTCTTCCTTAGCACAGAATTATCTCTCTTTGCCAGATCATAATGGATTTCTTGAAATCTTTTCTAATTATGAAACCTATCTAAAAAAGCTTGGGCCAAAGCTTACTAGAATGGTTCTTTCATTATGGTTCCAACGTTTTTTTCTCTGTAAAAATTTCCTGTAACTACTTCTCTCCTACAAAATAGCCAGTCCCTCTTTCCCTGGTGTTCAGGGCCTATTATGAACCCTCTGATTGAAAAACCTTGAGTTCCCACTGTCAGCAACTGTTTCAATTCCCAGTTTCTAGGTCACATTAAAATACTATGATAGTAGCTTTTATTCATCTTTCCCTGTTTAAATGTCTCATTTTATGGGTTCCTGGCACGGCATTCACACTGAAAAGTGTTACTGCTTGTATGAGTAAGTGGCACAAACAGACTTTGCAGAAGCCTGGAAGCCATAATTTGCTGAATGATGAAAAGGGAACATAGAGTAAGGTTGGTCCAATATGCTCTGTTTCTCACCAAAGGCTAAAGTGTTGAGAGCAAGAAAAAGAGAATATTGCAAAGAAATCTTTGTTGACTGCCTAATGATCTAGAAATATAATGCCTGCTAAAGTTGAAGATAGTGGTTTTTAACATTTTGATGTTCATTTTGTCATTGGGGGCAAGATGAATCCTCTTGGTCTACATAGGAATGAATTAAGTTATTTGAATAGATTTTGCTGTAGTAATTCTCCTTATTGTGAAATGTTTCTGATTAGTTCCTAACTAGATGCTTATAGCCAAACTACAGGTTTCAGAAAGAACTGGAATCTGAGCATTGCATGTGGGCTTACCAAAAGTAAAAAATTTACAACCAATTGTCATGTAACACCCCAGTGAAGATGGAGTTCAGAAGTTTGGACCATGTCCTACTCTAATAAAAATTCCAATCTATGATTAATTACTTAGTGGATATTATTCCTGTATTTATGGTGCTATAAAAGTTAGTTATGATACTATGCAAAGATGAGGCGAATTCTTGAGAGCATATGCAAATTAAAAGTATTTTTTAATTGTTGTGTAGTAAACCCTGTAATTATTAGCTTAGCTGGACAATAAAACCTGGGCTTTTGGAAAAAATGTTTACATATTCTCTTGCTCCAGTAGCAAGAAACACTCCCTGGGTCAGAAGGTGCTCTTTCAAATGTTTAGGCAGTTTGGAAGGATGCAGGAGCGGAGCTGTGTCTCTTGAAACTCACTTCAAGAGCAAACAAAGGTAGCTGGGGCAAGCTGTGACAAAGAGGTTCCTGGGTAGGACTGTGACAAGCCCTGCCAGGGACTTGTGATTGGGATGATCCTTATTAGTCAGAAGCCTCTGTTCCATTCCAGGCAAGCCCTGTCATAATGAGCTTCCTTCCAAAGCCAGGTCTGTTACTGTTGTTCCGGAGTACGTTGGAAAATGGCTTCCCAAAATTGTTGATGTGTTTTCATTCTCTTCTGTAGAAGAGAACATGAGCTCAGCATCTGATTGATGAATGTAAAACTCCTAATCTTGATTTGAAGTCTGCACCTTTTAGATTTGTTTGTGATATTTCTGGTTTAAATTGGGATTGGTGTGAGAAGCTGCATCTACAATGAAGAACACACTTCTATTTCTGGTCTGGTTCACACAGACAGCCTGAAAGACTTCCGCTCTGATGGAAACAGGTCACGTTTCATCCCAGAGCAGTTGGAATGACAGTTACAAACTCTGTAGAAAGTTTATAACGAGTCTGCTGACAGATACTCAAATAAGGAGAACTGGAGGCCAGCAACAGAATGTTCATTATGGCCCTCAACGTACAGATCTTGATCAGATATAAATTCTACCAACCTTCCTCACTGACGCTAGCAAGTACTTTCATTAATAAGTAGCCCCAGTGCAATCCAAAGTAAGAGATCAAATTAGAAGGAGAGAAAGTCAAGCCTCTCTCTGCCTGTCATAAAATTTGCACCTGTTCTTATGCCATTAATATATTCCAGGAATGGCATATATTCTACTATGTGACACAGTCCTGTTTTTTCCTTAACTGTTCTTACACCTGCAGATTGTTCTTCAAATTTTGATTTACTGCAAGCGTGTTTTGAATGTCCTCTGTTATTTGGAGCTGGGTACTGGAAAAGAGAAATTAGATTGGAGCAAGTAAGATGATTGCCTATACTGAGGGCAATTTGAGTATTAATGAACTAGTGAAAAAGTGTACACTGTGTTTTGCTCTCTGGAAAATCCTTGGCTGAGAACAGAAAGTGCCAAACTGCTTATGAGGCCCTCCAAAAACCAAAACAACCAGCATAAAGGTGTTTCTTTATGATCTCCACATAGTTAAGAGAATTTCTGAATTGAAAGCCTCTAATGAAGAACCATGTGCTCAGCTGTTTTAACGGAATCAGAAACAGTAGTTGTGATTTAGGTACAGAGGAAGAAAATTATCTACTTTCTGTTTTCTGTTAAGGCGCCTTGGATTCTTAATCACTTGATGTTGGGACCAGTGCAGTGTTCAATTAATGCATTCAGTGCCTGTTATTAATCTGGTTTTTTCAGAGTAGTAAAACTATTACTTAGTCTGCTTTGGTACATGTGTACTCGGAGTTAACTCACACTGGAGGCAATCAAAACTACACATAAATTTTTAGGGGCATAATTTGATATTTACAGTTTAAATGGGGACACAATAATGACTGAATGTAGTAAAGTGGGAAAAGCTCTCTTTTCAGAAAGCCATAAGATCAGGTTAGTAGCACTTAAGTAACACTGGGGAGAAATTTAATTCTTTTTAGTAAGTCACGGTCTCTTAGGAGTCTGACAATTTGACAGGATTAATCCCTGATTGTCTAAAATCAGATGGGCCAGCTGTGGTTCATGGATCACCAATAGTCCATGGTGGTCCATCTGTTATAAAGAGATTAGGGAAGAATCCATTAATCTTCAGGCAACTATGCTTTACTATTTATTTTAGGGACTTACAGAATCTTCAGAAATGATTCTTTTTCATCTTGCTGATGAAAATAAAGATATCAAGCATCTGCCTGTCTTGCACTGCAATGTCTTCCTTTCCTGGTACCTTTCTGCAGGAAATTTGAAATGGAAAGAGGGGAAGTGAGACTGCCAAGACCAACCTTGAATCTCAAAACAACCAGAAAAATTTGAAGTTGCTTCTAAGAAGGAGGGAGGTATGGGACTCATAAGCCTATATAGTCAGGAAAAACTAAATATTACAATTTCATAGGCATAACCAAGCACAATAGACTTCATTACATCTTTTCTCTATAGAACTGTCCTACTTTGATGCATAACACATGAGGATGATCACATGAGGAAACATGCTGGTTTGTGGGTGTGAGTTTGAGAGCACTGCTGGCCAGGAAAGATCTACTTT